TAGATGAACGTCTCCAAAATCTTCTTCTTGTATGGTTGGATGAAAAACTCGATGAATCAGTAGACGATTATGGTCATTCAATCAAACAGCTACGACGTACCGTCAATAAGGTTGAAACATTCTGCGAAACTGATGAATGTATCGAGTATATGCTACAATTTCAAAACCAAAAAATACTTCTTATTATTTCTGGTGCTTTATGTAACAGTGTTGTGCCACACATGCATAATATGACACAACTGTACTCAATTTATGTGTTCTGTCAAAAAAAAGAAAAGTATGAAGAATGGGCAAAAGACTGGCCCAAAGTGAAAGGTATTTTCACTGAAATTATTCCAATTTGTGATGCAGTTCGACAATCTGCTCGACAATGTGACGAAGATTCTGTCCTAATTAGTTCTGAAATCGAACCCTCGTTCATGTATACACAACTTTTCAAAGAAATTATTCTCACAATCGATTTTGATAAAACGAAAGAAGTGAAAGAATTAGTCGAATATGCCCGTGAACACCCGGACTATGTAGAAAATAATGCACAGTTGGAACTTATCAATAAATTTGGTGAAGAGTACGTTGACGATAATATAACCTTCGAAATTATTGATAAACTTGGTAAAAATTATCCCGGAAATGTCGATGACAAACCCATTTGGTGGTACACCCAGCAATGTTTTACGTACCAACTTGTCAACAAAGCTCTACGCTCTCTAGACGTCAGTACTCTTCTAAAAATGGGTTTCTTCATCTCTGACGTTCATCGAAATATCGAAAAACTTCATCTCGAACAGTCTAATGGAACTCAGGCAGTTGCTTTACCAAGTACTGTCTATCGAGGTCAAATCATGAGAAAGGAAGATTTTCGAAACAAAATTAAACAAGATAAACTAATATCCTTTAATAGTTTTTTATCAACAAGTGAGGATAGTATGACTGCACTCAGCTTTATTTCTTCTACTGACGATAATATGATCGCTGTACTATTCATCATAACAATTGATCGATCACATTCATCTTCACCATCATCAGCAGCAATCTTTGCCTCCGTCAGTGCCATTAGCGAGTATCCCAACGAAAAAGAGATTCTCTTCTCTACTCATACCATTTTTCGCGTCCAGAAAATCGAACCTAAGAAAGAAAACGGAAGAACATTACAGCAAGTACACCTAACGCTCACTAATGACAACGATGACCATCAGCTATGTGATCTCACCAAACAATTACGACAAGAGATTACTGGTACAGGATGGCAAAAAATGGGTACATTGTTATGGAAAATCGGCGAGAATAAGAAAGCCGAACAATTGTGCAACATGTTACTCGAGGAGGCATCAAATGAAAATGATGAATGCTACTGTTATTACTGCCTTGGAATTATTAAGTATAATCTAGGACAATACAATGAGGCCATCAAATTTTATCAAAAATTTTTAGATATCAAAGAGAAAACTCTCCCTCCGAATCATCCCGACTTGGCTTCTTCCTACAACAACATCGGTATGGTGTATCATAACATGGGCGAGTACTCGAAAGCACTTTCATCGTATGAACGATCACTTGAAATCAAAAAAATAGCTCTCCCTCCGAATCATCCCTCCTTGGCTCCTTCCTACAACAACATCGGTTCGGTGTATGATAACATGGGCGAGTACTCGAAAGCACTTTCGTCCTTTGAACGATCACTTGAAATCCGAACAACAGCTCTCCCTCCGAATCATCCCTCCTTGGCTGCTTCCTACAACAACATCGGTTCGGTGTATGATAACATGGGCGAGTACTCGAAAGCACTTTCATCGTATGAACGAGCACTTGAAATCCAAAAAATAGCTCTCCCTCCGAATCATTCCGACTTGGCTGGTCCCTACAACAACATCGGTTTGGTGTATAATAACATGGGCGAGTACTCGAAAGCACTTTCATCGCACGAACGATCACTTGAAATACGAAAAATAGCTCTCCCTCCGAATCATCCCGATTTGGCTAGTTCCTACAACAACATCGGTTTGGTGTATAATAACATGGGCGAGTACTCGAAAGCACTTTCATTGCACGAACGATCACTTGAAATCCGAAAAATAGCTCTCCCTCCGAATCATTCCGACTTGGCTTTCTCTTACACTGGTATCGCTTTGGTGTATAATAACATGGGCCAGTACTCAAAAGCACTTTCATCGTCTGAACGATCGCTTGAAATCCGAAAAACAGCTCTTCCCCAAAATCATCCCGACTTGGCTACTTCCTACAACGACATCGGTTTGGTGTATGATAACATGGGCGAGTACACGAAAGCACTTTCATTTCTCCAAAAAGGACTCGAGATACGACAAAAATCACTGCCACCAAATCATCCACATGTTGCGCAGTCGAAAAGAAACATTGACAATGTGAAAAAGAAAATGTAATTGTTTTTTTTTAAACAAGAAAATAAATTGGCCTTTTTGAGCACGTTTGGCTCGCCGAAGCGCACCAGCTGCAATAATTTCGTGCACGCGCGACCAGGGATATCCTCCGTATTCCGTTGGGTTGTACACTGGACAAAGCCGGCAATGATAAGGCAAACATTCATTTATGTATGTATGACTAGTACATCCATGATCATCATCTTCGGAAAGACGATGACCAGATGGATGGTTCTAGTCATACATACATAGATGTATGTCAGAGTTGTAACCGGTAGGGTTTTTTCCTTACCGGTACCGGTCTAACTGGTCAGACCGGACCGGACCGGCCGGTATACCGGTATAAATTATTCTTCTGTTTTCTGACCCTATAACGCTCAAATCAATACCTAGATGAGTCATATATTCCTTCTAATCACTACAGCTATTATATAAAAGTACTATTTCGCCACTGCAGTGCTTTTTACTATTTCCTTTCATATGTGTCCTGTTTCCCGATATCTGTTGGTGAACACAAAAGTTCATACGACCATAAATTCTATGTTAATTTTGCACTTTGATTAACTATTCATCAAATATGGGCTCTATTTATTGCTCGTATGCTATAATCGCTTTGTCATCTTTCGTGTCTGTCAGGACTATGTGCAATAAATAATGGGAAATACAAATAAATCCATGATAAACTACGATGCTAAACAATTAATCATTTGATTTTATTTGAACAACACCGATGTGGTTCAGGAAACGGCACTTTGTCGGTTAAAATAGTTTTTATTGACCAAAACTATCGTTTATCATACCTAAACGTCGTTTCAAAACAGAAAATAGCTGGAAATTGACCTTCGTAAACGCTACGGAAACGTTTCTGTATGCATTTGAGCTTATATACGCATAATAACATTTCTGTGCTGTTTACGAAGGTCAATATCCAGCTATTTTATTTTCTGAAACACCGTTTAGGTATGATAAACGATAGTTTTGGCCAATAAAAACTGTTTTAAATGATAAAATGTCGTTCCTTGAACTATACGGGCAGAACGCCGTACCCACATGGATTGGATAAATATAAAAACATCCATGACAAATTTTGACTCAATAGGATAGTTTGATACAATTTTTTTTACCACAATTGTCTTCGACATTAGTAAAAAGTTTTTGATTTTCGAAAAAAACCACCTTTTTGATCATTTTTTCGGAAAAAAATAGGGAAAAATTCAAAAAAATTCAGACCGGGCCGGTAAAGAAAAAGTTGGTTCTACCGGCCGATAAGAGATCTTCTACCGGACCGGACCGGCCGGTCCGGTTACAACTCTGATGTATGTTACAAAAGGCCTACCATCTACACGCCTGTACAGGTTACTAACAGAACGTCGGATATCCCTGGAAAGTTTCATTTGTTTTAGAGCCACCCTCAAAAGCTCCGTTTGTTTTAAATTTTCTTTTTCTTCTGTTACCAAGAACGAGAAGAGCAAAGAAACACGAAGAAAGACGACGTCGACGGAATTTTAATACGCAGTGTATGATGACAACCGGTTGTTTTAACGCATGCTGTGATATCGAGTGCACGATATCTATGTCGTCTTTACACATGTTATGTTCAATTTATTTTCCTTTTCGTCTGGAATGTGTAAGAACAAATGAGACGTCGTGCACTCAATATCATATTATACGAGTGATGATTGAACGAAAGAAGAACACCAAAAAAAAATGATCGACTATTCTCTTTGATTAGTAACATACGCATATATAAGAGATAATTGAAAGAAGAAAATGAAAAAGGAATTTTTATAAATTTAATCATTTTTGTTACTTATTACATAACGTTTTACAAAAATATTATTTTACGATCATATTGATTGAATATAATATAATAAAACAGAAGTTCAAATAGATCAAGTGCAGTAGTTGATTTTTTTAAAATAATAATTTACAGTAAAAATTATGGATCTAATATAAAGATTTGTAGAATAGTTTTTCGTTCATTCATTGATGAAGGTGAATATTCAATCGACGTTAGACTTCTTCCGTCAATTATTCATTCATTTATTATGATTATCAAAAAATGTTTAAACTTATTTATTTAGCTTTAAAATAAATGAATTCAATATAAATTAAACAACATGGTTAAACTAAGTAAATCACTTGAAGTTTTAAAATTATTTTCAACAACAACATGTTATCGAAGGTTTTTTTTGCTCTAGAGATAAAGATGAAAATAATTTTAAATCAGTTACGACTATAAATGCTGCGAAACGCATTAATGCTGACCGGTTTAACGCGTTTCGCAGCTGCTAAATCGGT